GTGACAGAGAACCCCGGATACCCATCACAGACCGTGACAGAGAATCCCGGGTACCCATCACAGACCGTGACAGAGAATCCGGGTACCCATCACAGACCGTGACAGAGAACCCGGGTACCCATCACAGACCGTGACAGAGAACCCCGGGTACCCATCACAGACCGTGACAGAGAATCCGGGTACCCATCACAGACCGTGACAGAGAACTCGGGTACCCATCACAGACCGTGACACAGAAACTGTAGTTGTAAAGTATCAGATATACGGTCAGCTACAAATGTGTCGTAAGGAAATGGAACAAAAGGATTTCCATTTAATTAGTAACAATAGGTCCATCGTGTTTCACATTTTTAATCCCGCAAGGGATTGCGCTAACAGCTTTTACTATTCAACAGTTTCTTTCCAAAACCAGAAAAATTTCAATACTGAATGAAATTAAATGCTTTGAGGAATCTAATACTGATTCCAATGCAATTAAATTTCCTACACATCACAAACAAAATCAAAGCAATTCATTTTCGTCAATAGTAACAAATTTAGATGAACTTACAATGGATAAAATAGAACAAACTATTTATGATGCATATGAACATGCAAAATCTTTTATTGAAAAATTAGAAATGTTACCACTTTTGAAAAAGAATGAGGTGTTTAAATTAAATGATTTATGTATAAAATTACATGATGATTTAGAAAAAATAATTTATATAAATGATCTTATATTAAATGATGATGATCTTGACTTTGATAGTGATTCAGATGAACAACTAAACGACGATTCAACAGCATCGGATGTCAACAGTGAAAGCGAATATGAAGATTCAGAAACAGAAACTGCAACAAAATCAACGAAAGAAGGTTATGATGGAATGCGAATTTACTCTACTATAGCTGATAAAGATAGAAGCAAATTTTTTACAATTGAAATTAATGGAAAGAAAAAATACATTCATAAGCAAACAGCTGTTTGGTATTTGACTAATAAAAACAATCGATTATCTTCAGATAGAACAATACGTGTTCAACAAATGAACAAACAGTAATAAAAGTTTTGTTATTTGGTATTTATGTCAAGATAAAAACATATTCTAATGCCTTTCCATGCTAAATCTTTGATTTTTTTTTGAATTTATAAATAATATAGAGCTGTAGAAAATTCTTGAACATGTTAAACCACTTTTGCATTCGTTCAGATTTGAAATGATGCTAAGAGTTTAAGTTATAGAGTATCACGCATTTCAAAACATCATTTAATGCCTACCGAGAAAGGAAATCTTCTGTCTCTCCTTCTAATAGGTGATACTAATAAAAATCGTGGTCAAGTGTGACAATCTATTTACGCTACTCAAAGTAATCTAAAACTTCCTATCCTGATTACAAGCTATAATTGAAGGAAATGATCTCAAACAATTGAAAGTTAGTTTCTTTCGTCACTAACAGCCACAGTCTTTGTTAGAGTATGGTAATATTTCCATATAAAAAAGAACTAGGAATGATTTTTTCTGATATGCTATTTGTAGTATATGACATTAACAATATTCTGGTCCCTATTATTAGCATCAAATATCCATAACTTTTTAATGCTCTAATGTTACATGAATGCTGCGAAAAGGAAGTCATCGCGCATGATTAGATCAGTGTTATTTAGAACAAGTTTCAATAACCGAATGAACTTTCTCTCACTTTTGTCAATTTCTGCTAAGTTCACAATTATCCATCTCATGCTACTCAATTGAAAAATATCTATTGATTTCCAAAGTTGTTGATACTACAAGTTGTGTAATATGTTCTCACTTAGTTCAGAATTTATCTAAATCGGTTTAATTGCAACGTAACCACCTAAGAAGCAAACCTAGCTTCAAGATACCAATACAGTTATTCATATGAAATTCGGAATATATGCGAATAATTCGGCACGACTGGGATTGATTACGAGTAGTTTCGATTGGCAGCGAGTGATTGCGAGTGGCAGCGAGTGATTGCGAGTGGCAGC